TCTTTCTGCCTATTCTGAACGGCTAGAAGCTTTTCCTAAATGAATTTCACTTTATCTAACGACTCCCTCAAAAGATCGGTACCCCATGGTCTCACCTCAAGTGCATCAAATCAACCAATGGGAGACCTACATCTCCTCCCATACAGTGCCTCAAATGGGGCCATATCGATACTTGAGTGATAGCTATTATTGTATGAGGACTCTGCTAAGGGTAAGAAGTTATCCCAATGACCACCAAATTCTATCACACATGCACGAAACATATACTTCCAACACCTGAATTGTTCACTCAGACTGACCATCGGTCTGAGGGTGAAATGCAGTACTAAGATCAAACCTAGTACCTAATTCAGCATGCAATGTTTTCCAAAACTTAGAAGTAAACTGCGTACCTCTATCTGATATGATGGAAAGTGGAACTCCATGCAATCGAACAATTTCGGAGATATAGAGTTTGCGTAACTTCTCCGCATTGTAAGTCACCTTGACCGGAATGAAGTGAGCAGACTTAGTTAATCTGTCAACAATTACCCAAATAGAATCAAACTTACCCAATGTCTTTGGAAGACCAACCACAAAGTCCATTGCAATTCTTTCCCATTTTCATTCAGGAATGGGCATTTTCTGACGTGTTCTTCCGGGCCTCTGGTGTTCATACTTTACCTGCTGACAATTCGGGCATTGGGCAACAAAATAAACAATGTCACGCTTCATCCTACTCCACCAAAAATGTTGCTTTAGGTCACGATACATCTTGGTTGCACCAGGATGTATAGAATACCTTGAACTATGAGACTTTGTAAGAATAGTGTGAATCAAATCATCAACACGAGGCACACATACCCTTCCCTTTATTCTCAAAACGCCTTCCTCATCAATTATTGCCTCTTTAGTCTCTCCTCGTAACACCATATCCCGAATTCGACTCAGTTTCTCATCAGCAAACTGCCTTCCCTTAATCTTGTCAAGAAAAGAAGATCTTGCCTCCACACAGGCCAAAAATCCCCCTTTCTCTAGTATTTCCAGCCTCATGAGGTCATTAGCCAAAGTATGAACCTCTCTAACCAATGGGCGTCTAGAAACCTGTAGGTGAGCTAGACCTCCCATGCACCCTGCTATTCTACTTAAAGCATCTGCCACAACATTAGCTTTTCCTAGGTGATACAAAATAGTAATATCATAGTCCTTCAGTAGTTCCATCCACCTCCTCTGTCTCAAATTCAAATCTTTCTGAGTTAAAACACGATGATCTGTATAGACTTCACACTTAACCCCATATAGATAATGTCTCCATTGCTTTAATGCAAACACGACAGCAGCCAATTCCAAATCATGGGTCGGATAGTTACGTTCATGCACCTTTAGTTGCCTCGAAGCATAAGCAATTACATTTTTCTCCTACATTAGCACTGCACCCAAACAAGAATATGAGGCATCACAATAAACAATGAAGTTCTTACCTTTCACTGGCAAGGTAAGAATTGGTGCAGTAGTCAACAAGGTGTTGAGTTTCTGAAAGCTTTCTTCACATTCGTCCGACCATACAAATGGAACACTCTGCTTAGTTAAATTTGTCAGTTGGGAAGCAATCGAAGAAAATCCCTTGAAAAATCGACGGTAGTAGCTCGCTAAACCAACAAAGCTCTTTATCTCTGTAACATTAGTAGGTCTTACCCACTCTTCACTGCTTCAATCTTAGAAGGATCAACCATCACTCATATCCTTAGAAATTACGTGCCCCAAGAAGGACACTGAATCTAGCCAAAACTCACACTTGGAGAATTTGGCATAAAGCCTTTTCTCCCTCAACACTTCCAACACAACTCTCAAATGCTCCTCATGTTTTGTCCTGCTCTTTGAGTATATCAGTATATCATCAATGAACACAATGAAAAAGAGATCCGGATATGGCTTAAAAATCCCGTTCATCAAGCTCATGAAAGCCGCAGGGGCATTTGTAAGTCCAAAAGACATTACTAAGAATTCATATGCCCATAAGTGGTCCGAAAAGCAGTCTTCGGCACATCTGCTGCCCGTATTTCCAATTCATGATAACCAAATCTCAAATCGATTTTTGGGAAGGTACAAGCACCTTGTAACTGATCGAACAAATCATCAATGCGAGGGAGAGGATTCTTGATCTTAATAGTTACCTTATTCAGTTGCCTGTAGTCTATGCACATCCGAAAACTTCCATCTTTCTTCTTCACAAATAAAAAGGGAGCACCCCAAGGGGATGCACTTGGTCTAATGAAACCTTTACCTAACAAATCCTGAAGTTGGGCCCTTAACTCCCTTAACTCACCTTGAGCCATTCTATAAGGGGGTATGAAAATGGGGCGAGTACCCGGTTCCAGATCAATGCAAAAATCAATATCCCTATCCGGTGGCATACTAGGAAGGTCTGCGGGAAATACATCCAGAAACTCACGGTCTATCAAAACAGACTCAATCGAAGGTACTTGGGAAGTATCATCCCTGAGATGTGCCAAGAAAGCTAAACAACCCTTACTAACCATTCTCTTAGCACGAAGAAAGGAGATAATACGAACTGGGGTGGAAGTATAGTCACCCTCCCACAATAGCAGATCTGTCCCTGGCTTGGCCAATGTCACAATTTTCGCATTACAATCTAAGATTGCAAAATTTGGAGAAAGCCAAGTCATACCCAGAATTACGTCGAACTCAACCATATCTAGAATAATCAAGTCTACACGAGTATTGGTCCCCACAAAAGTCACAAGGCAAGAACTATACACATTCTCAACTATCAAAGACTCACCCACAGGAGTAGAGACACGAATAGGCATGTCAAGCAAATCACAATGTAAATCAAGACCAGTAGCAAATGAGGAAGATACATACGAAAATGTGGATCCAGGATCAAATAATACATAACCCATGCAATCACAAACCAAAAGATTACCTGTGATAACAGCATCTGATGTCTCTGCTTCAGATCTCCCGGGGAAAGCATAACAATGGGCTCTATCACCTGTCTGTTCGTTGCCCCTACTATGTTGTGCTGCAGTAGTTCCAACTTGTCCGCCACCTCAGCTGATTTGGTGACCACCATTACCTTGACCAACGCGTCCTCCAGAATGGCGGCCTCTCCCATGACCACCTCTACCTCTAATTATTGGGGGTCTGTAACTCTGTTTTGGACAATTCTTCCTAATATGTCCAGTCTCTCCACATCCATAACAATCTCTGGAGTCTAGCATAGGTCTCTGTGAGAATGACGAAGTCTGGGGATAGCCTCTAAACTCAGAGAAATGTTGATTGGTCTGCGATGGACCCCCAGCTACAGCCTGTAGTGAAGACTGAATAGGTCGGGCTGAGTAACCTCCTGAACTCTGCCCTCTAGAGTAAGAACCACTAAACTCACCTCCCCTGCGGAACTTATTAGAGGTTGACGCCATGGTGAAGTTATCTGGCTTCACCCCCTCCACCTCTATCACAAAGTCAACCACTTCCTGAAAGGATTTTGCTGCAGCAGCTACATGTAAAGCTGAAATCTGCAAATCTGACCTCAATCCTTTCACAAAACGGCAAATCCGCTCTTGTGGACTGAAGCAAAGCTGGGTGGAATACCTAGATAGTGCAAGAAATTTAGCCTCATAAGCAGTAACAGACATCCTGCGTTGCTCTAGACTCAGGAACTCATCTCTCCTCTTGTCCTTCAAAGTCCGGGGTATATACTTCTCCATAAATAAGCTAGATAATGACGACCAAGTCATAGGTGGTGCCTGTGCTGGTTGACACTCAACATACGACCGCCACCACATTTTGAAATTCCCCTGAAACTGATAGGTCACAAACTCAACACCGAATCGTTCTACTATGTCCATCTTATGTAGCAGCTCATGACAATCAACCAGAAAATCATAGGCATCCTCAGATTCAGCACCCTTGAAGACTGGAGGTTTCAACTTCAAGAATTTAGTGAAAAGTTCATGCTGATCACTCGTCATTATATGTCCTGTAGTCAATCGAGGAAACGTGCCTACTTTCAATGAGGCGTCCATGCGGAGAGCCACAGCAGCTGCATGTTGTACCTCTGGAACCTGAGGTGCTGGTGTAGAAAACACTGGATGTGTCTGGCCCTGATCAGATAACCCGCTAAGATAAGTAAGAACCTAGTTAATCATCACTGGGGTAGGCTGGGGTGGTAATTCCTCCTCTTGAACCTGCTCGTGTTCCCCTTCTTCACCCTCTCTCACTACCTCATCAGTAAGTGGATGAGTCACCGCCCTATTACTAGCCAGACCGGGTGTTTGTCCTCTACCTCTAGAGGGCGTCCTCCTGCGACCTCTACCATGGCCTCTTGCCACTGTTCCTCCTCGAGCTACAGCCCAGTGGTTGGCTCAGACGCACCCTGCTTTGCCAGCGTTGGTGTTGGCACCGTTGTCGCTCTAGTTCTAACTATCTGCGAAATAGAGTGAAGATGTCAGATACCAATTTGTATCACCTAGATACCAATTGGATCCAAGTAATAGCACGAAAGGAAGAAAGAATGGAATTTTCCTAAAGTCCTATAGCCTCTCAAAGAAAAGTAAGGGCGTCCCCCTACCGTTCCTCAAGACTCTACTAGAATCGTTCTTGTGTGATGAGACCAACTAACCTAAGGCTCTGATACCAAGTTTGTCACGACCCAAAACGGGTCGTGAATGGCACCCACACATATTCTCCTATGTGAGCGAACCAACAAATCTAAACCCCAACATTTACCATTATTCAAACCATAACGAACAAAATATAATGCGGAAGACTTAAAACTCATTAACGAAATAAATTAAATAACTTCTAAAATTTATCAATTACTATCCCCAAAATTAGGAAGTCATCACACCATGAACATCTATTCTCAAGTTTCTAAATCTAAGAGTATTTAAGAAACTAAAGTAAGTAAAACAGATGGTCCATGTCCGAACTTCAAGACATCAAGACGTGAAGGAGAGAATCCAATCCGAGCTAGGAACAGTAGCTCACCCTAAATTCTGATATGCAAGAGACTGGCTAGAGTTGCGGACGAGTCAAAGTCGATAGCACGTTTGCTGCATTCCACAAATAACAAAGAGAAAAATACAAGTAGGGGTCAGTACAAGGAATACGTAGTGAGTAGGTATCATCGGCCAACTCAAAATACAAAGAAATATATATCGAATGATAATATAAATTCAACCATAATACTTAACAGGTGACAATCAACAAATACAATAACCATTTGCGACAACACCAAGCATACCCTTGAGGACTCGACCTCCACACCATACTCATTTGGGAAAAAAGTTTTTCGAATTGAGTATATTAACATGGTTCAAGATTCATTCTCTTTATTATTATCGTGTCAGAACGTGACACTCCGATCCCCTAATACTACGTGTCGGAACCTGACACTCGATCCTCTAATACTACGTGTCGAAACCTGACACTCGATCCTCTAATACTACATGTCGGAATGTGACACTCGATCCCCTAATACTACGCGTCGGAACGTGACACCCGATCCCCTAATACTACGTGTCGGAACGTGACACTCCGATCCAATAATCTCATTGCTTTAGTTCATCAAGCCTCTTTTATGTCAAGGCATGATCTTAATAGAGAGGGATTTAAGGTGTAAGATTCAACAGTCTAATCATTCTAATTCATCATAATTACATAATCACAACATACAAACACACAATCAAGCACATAGGAGACCTTACAATACCACCCAATACATATCAATCGCTATTTAGAGTTTATCTATCACATAGAAATAAACCATAACCTACCTCCACCAAAGAGTTGTGATCAAGCAAGATACTTCTCAATGCCTTTGCTTTCTCTTCGCTTATCCCTTTTCTCACTCGTTCTCCCTCTCTCTGTTCTTTTTTTTTCCTCCACAAATTCTTTTTCTTTTACCCTAGTTATCATATAATCAATTATAAAAGATGATAGAAGTAATCCACTATTTATTTCAAGGTTATCTCCTTTAACCCCCAAATAAATAAATTATTAAACTTACCCCACTAATTTCGTAAAGTTTGTCATGAATAGTCCAAAACACCCCTTAAACCTTTAGCAAAATTCCGACCCAGTCAGGGTTACGCAACTCGTGACGGCCCGTCATACCTGCGACGATCCGTCCTGCAGATCCTTCACAAAATTCAGAGAGTCAAATTAAGTAAAGAGGGCTGTGACGGCCCGTCGTTCCTACGACGGTCCGTGCTGCAGTTCCATCGTGAAGTTCAGAGAGTTGATCCCAGCACCCAGATTTTCGAGTTTAAGTGTTTTGTAACGGAGATCCTCGACAAACCGTTGTACTTATGACGGTTTGTACTACCTGTCGTCGAGGGAAATAAGGAGAGCAGCAGGAGAATTACACGAGTGTGGGACGACGGAGTCCATCACGGTCCGTCGTGACCATGACGGTCCGTCACGTGACCCGTCGACCTTGTCAGTTTTTATCTAAAGTAATTCTACTGCTCGAAACGACTAAACAGGTTGTTACACATAAACTAATCAACTCCAATTTCAAAACTATTGCAACCAAAAAAAAAGATACACCAGTTTTTATGAATAACAAAATATTATTTTTTGGATGGTATGACCAAACCCAAAAGGGTTACCAATGTATCATTTCAGAATTAGGACGAGCATAGTTTAGACATTCAACTAGAGGACTTTTTTTATTGATTGGTTTTTTTATTTCCTTGGAACAAGGGTCCTTCATCTTCCGAACCATAAAATGCAAACCACCGTTTTTCACTGTATGTTAAAATTCATTAGATGTAATATATTTTTACTCAATTTTTATTAATAATTATACATGTGATGTTTTGCTCCATGTCAGTAAGGTGCAGTGTTCCTTTGGACAACACTCCTTTGATAAGATATGGACCTATCAAAGTTGGAGAAAACTTTTCTTGGATTTTTTCTTGTACAGAAGAATGCATTTTTAAAAAAGTTGGCCTACTTCAAAATATCTTGGGTGCACCCTTTCGTTGTATACACGAGCCATACTTTGTTGATAAAGCTATCTAAAACAAATTCCCACCAATCCTTTCTCATCTATTAATTCCAACTGATCTAATCGAGTTTTTACCTATCCAATATCCTCAATTTTAGCTTCCACAATTAAGAGAGATTGAATTTCAACTTTTGCTGGTGTTACCACCTTGATTTCATGCATGAGAAAGTAAGGGGTTTCACCAATCAAAGTGCGTGTTGTCGTACGATAACCCTAATCTGTGAAAGGTAACTTTTCATGCAATTTTCTGGTGCCTTGAACCATCTTTTAGAGGATCTTTTTGATGTTTTTGTTGGAATCTTGCACAACTCCATTGCCTTTTGATCGGTATGGAGTACAATTGAGATGCACAATTTTGAATTGGTATATAGATTTGCAGTGTTGTATGTGACGTTAAATCTTAGGGTACCAAAGTGGCAAATGATGTTAGAATGGAAAAAGATCCACAACCGCCTTCTTAATAGCTACTTGTAAAGTGGCTTCCTCCACACATTTGGTGAAGCAATAAATTGCAATTAAAATATATCGATGTCCTTTTGAAGATTTTGTCTCAATTTTTTTGATGACATCCACTCCCAATGCAGCTGAGGACCAAGGAGTGGCCATAGGATGTAACTCTAAGGAATGTGAATGAATTAAATTACCTTGAAATTTATGATCATTGTTCACTAAGCGAAAGCAATACAATTCCATCATAAGCTATTAAAACCCTACTTGAAATATCTTTTATATAAATGAAGGACATATCCATTATGTGGAATCCACATATCTCACCATGTCTTTAAATCATGATTTTCTCATTTTCTTTAACATCAAGACATCACAAAAATTTAAATTTAGGGTTCATTTATATTAAATTTCTCTCTAAAAAAGATCACTAGCAAGGGGCCTAATAGTTATTTGCTAGCTTCCATTAGCATGTTGTGGATATTTTTTGTCTGCAAGAAAGTATTTTATGTCTAGGTACCATTGCTCACCATATGGTTCTACTTCAATTGTGTTAGAATAGTAGTGTTTTTCAAGAACATGAATTTCCAAAGCAGTGATGCAAGTGTTGCTAGGGTATGTAATTTTTGTTAGAATAGAGTGTTGTTCACGAACTTGAATTTCCACAGTAGCCAGAGCATAAGTGAAAACAAAATGAAACCTGGGGATATATCTAAACTCGATGAACTACTTTTTGTTGACGTCTTCCACACATATTTTGAATGGAAGAAGCTGAGGCCTTTAGTTTTTTTCATTCGCTTTGAGCTTGCCAATTAAGCAAATCGAAATCTACCATCACAATCAACTCTTTTACTTAAATATATTTTCATAGTTAGACCCTTGATCCATGCTTCTTCATTTGTTGTGTCATTTGTGTAGAAGAAACAAAGTCGAGCTTTTGCAGGGTAGTGCTTCCCTTTGGGCGACATGAGAATCACCCCCACTCCTTATGCCTTTTGTATTCACTGTTCCATAAATGTATAACTCCATCGTGAACAAATAACTTTTGGCGTATATGAATATATTTGTATTTTTTATTTGTTAATGTTAATTTTTGTTTTCTTTCTATGTTTAAAAAATTAATTGTCCCAAAGGGCTCAATTTTCATTGAATTGGCAAATTTGATCCAATTATAACAACCTAATTAATTTTAACTATAGTCCAACAACTATGACTCAAATTTTAATCTCCACTATTCATAGTTTTTTTGATCCAATGACTCTTGTTTGACCCTATCATAATACAAAACACCTCAAAAATCACATTTTGGTCCTATTACCTTTTTAATTCTTTCTTTCTCCCCTTTTTTCCCAACCAATCTTGCAGAAAGATCGAATACTAATCATCACTTTCATTTAGATTTATAAAGTTCCGGTAATCTCCATTATATATCTCTTTCATAAATGTGTAGAGCTCTTCAATGACTGTTTTGATATAAGTTTCATGTCAAAACTTCATCGAATAACTTTACAGGGAGTTCTTATTTTTTCGACCTCCACTTACCCCAAAATCTATCAAACTTCTCATCCTCTCATCCCATTTCCAAATTTGTCACTATCACAATTTTTTAAATCATAGAAGTTATTTTAGTGCCTGAATATGTCTATTTTATTAGATTTTTTTAAAGATTTAATTTTCTAGTTTGTTCGAATTATATAATTTTTTTAAAAGCTTATATTTTTTTAGTCTTTTATTTATTTTTATAGTGTTTGATCTTTAAAATATATTGGATGTTTAAATTTTGCGTCAATGAGCTGATTTACTTTTTAATATTGGGTCTTAGCTATTATAATCAAATGGGTTCTACATAATACGGCTATTTTTTAATTTTTAGCTATTCCGTATAGCTTTTATTCAATTAATGAATAAAAGAAAATGAGAATCTCTAAAGGGACTTTTAGACTTTTTCAATTAATCATCTCTTTGAAGAAGGAAAAAAGAAAAAAAATAGTGCTCGGTGATACATTAGTATGACAAAGGGTCATATGCACACATTGACTCTTAAGCTTTCTAAAAAGAGGAGGATCTTTCGTATTCTCCACCTATTCAACAATCCTTCTTTCAACTGACAAATCTATCAAACCGCAATGACAATCTATCTAGAACTGGTTTGGGGAATAGCAACGATGCTTCTCTCAGTGAGAATATCCACAAACACACCAAATTTCTAATACCTAAGAAAAAAATAATTTTTTCAGTCTACTCGAGTAACCGTGTATCGATAAAATACTAACCCCAATCTCCCTAGCAGCCCCAGTTGCATAACATCCATCTTTTCTCTAATGAGTCTCGGTCCACATTTTTCCTCTATCAACATTATTTCCCTTTGCCTTATGAAATTTTCGAATGCTAAAGGGTTAGAATAATTAATTAAGAACATATTTATCTAAGAACATCATATAAAACAACCATTTCAGCTCTTTTTACAGCAAAACTCTTCATATCTCCAGTATGAGAAGTTTGGTTATTAAAATCCAGTTAATGATTCCTCTTGCAAAGTTTCCACAGGCAAAAGAAGAACAATTTGAATAATTAAATTCAGGGAACAATTAA